CAGCGTGCCCCAGGAGAGACAGGACCAGAAGCCAGAAGTTCCCTGGAGGCTGGTTTCTAAGAATTGGCGTAATCCCCGAAGAGGCCAGCTGTGTGCGGGAGGCTCTCGCCAGTTAGTCCCCGTGTCAGAGTGCCGTGAGCAGAGCTGGCATGGAACAGGGATATGTCCCGGCCTGTCAGAATCTCTTCAGCAATGCAACGCATTCCCCCCCAGGCACCCTTTTTCTTTGCTAGAGGACAGAAGTAGGAGAAACGCATCGGTCAGTGCAGGTGTGATACCATGGACGCCAGAGAGAAAGCCGATCTGCTGGGTTGAAACTCACTGTGTCCCCTTCTGTCCTGGAGAGTGAGGGTTGGACAGGCGTTGGCAGGGGAAGGTGAGGGGCCCCTGGAAGCCCTGCCGGTGCTCCCCCCTGAGCCAGGGTATGGCAGCCCTAAGGTGACAGGAACAACTTCGCCAGGGACAGCAGGCCCTGCTGGTGGCCTCTTTTGAGAAAAAGCACAGGCCAAAGTTACCCAAAGACTGGATGATGAGCAGATTTTTTTCTTTTAATTTTTCTATTGAAGTAACATTGGTTTATAATACCTAAATTTCAAGTGTACATCATTATATTTCAACTTCTGTACAGACTACATCACCAAAAGGCTAGTTGCCAAGAGGCAGATTTCTTAGTTTTCGGAAAAGAGGGGAAGAATGTAGATGTTGGGAGTCAGAGAGTTGCTGGCAATCCCTGCATCCCGCTAGGACATGGGGTAGTTGGGAGGTAGTGGGAGCCAGGACGATGCACCCCAAGGTGCAGGCTATCTGCTGCATTTGCTTTTCTCCTGGGGATTATTAGGTAGATAAACTGCAGGGCTCTGGGCATGGGAGATGTGTTAGAATCCTCATTTGGTGGAGGCCCTCTTTACACTGTTGTGAACAAGATGGGGAAATGTGCGCCTGGTGGTGGTGGAGATAGGTGGCTGGATAGCTGGTTGAGTGCCTCTGCCCGCCGTTGTCCAGCTGGGGAGTGTCCGTCGTTGGCCTTTTCTTTTTTTTTTTTTTTTTATTAAAGATTTTATTTATTTATTTTTCCCCCAACGCCCCAGTAGATAGTTGTCTGTCATAGCCGCACATCCTTCTAGTTGCTGTATGTGGGACGCGGCCACAGGCCGGAGAAGCGGCGCGTCGTGCGATCCCGGGATCCGATCCCGGGCCGCCAGCAGCGGAGCGCGCGCACTTAACCGCTAAGCCACGGGGCCGGCCCTGGCCTTTTCTATATCAGTTACTTGGAAGAACATAAAGGTCATGCTTACCAAATTGGTGGATACAAAACTACGCTGAGAGAGCACCAAGATGTTTGATGTCGGGCAGAGTCTCAGGAGGCTGGACCAACGAGCACAACATAAGGGAGAAATTTAACAGGAATCCGCATCAAGTCTTCATTGTCCTGAACATCCGTGTTACCAATCCAGGGGGGCAGGGAGCTGCAGCCACGGGGAGAAGGGCGGTGGTGGTCCTGCCCTGCGCTCTTCAGACCACACCTGGGGCCTTTGTTTCTGAAGGGAGCGCAGAGAAAGAGAAAGGGAGTGGGCTGCAGACTCAAAACTGTTTCAGGCAGGAAATGGTGGGAAAAACGAGACTGTTTTTTCAGGAGAGGGGAAGACTGGAGGTGGTCTCTTGGGGAGAGGGGAAGTCCAGGGATGAAGGACTGCTCTTTGGACGCGGGATTAGTCCCGGCCTGTGGGGCACTCAGGGCAGAGCTCATAGCTGCCGGGGGACAGATTTTGACTCTTGCCAGGAACTCTGTGAAGCCCTCCTGGGAGTTAGCGCCATCACCCTGTGAGCCGCTGAGTTTGGCCTGCGGTCCTGCCTGGGGTGGGGAACACTCTTGGTCCCCCCAGGTCCGAGTCCATGGTATGTTTATATAGCAATGCTAACCCCAGACTCGGAGCCCGCTGCCTTGCACTGAATGGAGCCTGTGTGAGTTATTCAAACCTTGCAAGAACAGCTGCGTCCTCAAGTGAGCTCAGAAATCCCCACCTGAATTGGGCCTTTTTTAAAGTTGTTTTTTTATTTTTATTTATTTTTTTTGTGAGGAGGTCAGCCCTGTGCTAACATCTGCCAATCCTCCTCTTTTTTTTTTTTTTTTTTTTGCTGAGGAAGAGGGCCCTGGGCTAACATCTGTGCCCATCTTCCTCCACTTTATATGGGACGCCGCCACAGCATGGCTTGCCAAGCAGTGCGTCGGTGCGCGCCCGGGATCCGAACCAGCGAACCCCGGGCCGCCGCAGCGGAGCGCGCGCACTTAACCGCTTGCGCCACCGGGCTGGCCCCTAAAGTTGTTTTTTTAATAGGCAGTACACGCATGTGGCAAAAAATGCAAATATAAACAGTAAGCTTCATTTTTATCCCCAGGTTTCTCCTCCCTAGGCAACCAGTGTCACCAGTTTCTTGTTTATTGTTCCAGGATGGTTCTGTGGTTCTGTGTGGATATATATATATATATATATATATATATATATATATATACACACACTACTAAGTTTCTATGTTTGTTTTCTTTTTTTTAAGTTAGCTTAGTATTGCACCTTGATTAATAATGGGGATCATTTCCTGTCCCCTGTATATAGAGCTGGCTAATTCTGAAAATAGCCTCAGAGTATTCATTGTATGGACCTGTTGTGGTTTGTTTAACCAGCCTCTTACAGGTGGATATGTGTGTGTGGGGGGGGGGGCTGTAACAGCTAATGCTGCAGTAAAATCCATGTGCGTATGTCATTTCACACAGGTGTGTGTCTGGGAAACATTTCCAGAAGTAGAGTTTCTGGGTCAAAGAGTGTCATCTTTAATTTTGACGTCTCTGTATTTTTGATTGGCAATTCACAGCATATTAGTGAGGGTGAACAGCTTCAGTTCCTTTTCTTTAATCACCTGTTCCCATCATTTAAGTTTCTCTAGTGGTTTTTGGTCTTTTTCTTATTGTAAAACATTTTTCCTAAATTTGTCATTTCTTTTGTCTATGTTGTTTTCCGTATTGGTTTCTTATCATGCAGAACTTTAATTTTATGTTTTTGGGGTTTGTGGCCTCTTCTTATGTTTTAATTTTTGGTCTGGCTGAAATTTATTTTGATGTGTGGAACAGGATAGTACCCAGCTTTTGGTTTTTTCCCCACCTGGCTGTGGATAGGCCTTTTGGCCTCATTGCTCTGGGAGGAGACGAGGAGTGGATGGGTGGGGGGCTTTGGTGCCCAAAGCTTCTGTGTAGTGGTGGTCTCGAGAGAGAAGTGTGAGGAACACAACTGTAGCACACCCTGTTCCTTCGCAGGGGAGGGCCTCTTTTCTCCATCAGAAGGTTCCTGGCCCATCCATCCTTCAAATCCCCAGGCTCTCTCCTTGTCAGCAAGGACTGAGGGCTCTGGCAGAAGAGTCAGGTTGAGGGCAGGACCTGGGAGGACTTTGTGCTGACGGCTCACCCAACCACAGGGAGATGAGTCAGACAAGGGCACCACTGGGGATCTCAACCACCACACCACAGTGAGTAAGGGGAAGGGCTTTGGCCCACACCACAGGTAGCCAGTTCTAGTTTTCTCCAAGGTCACTTGGCCATCATCTGGCCTCCTGTTGCTTTGCCTACAGTCACCTCAGGACCCACTGACCAAAACAAATTCCCACGCCCGTAGGGCTGACAACCGGGCCTACCCTGTGGGGGCCAGCGGCACCTTAAGGAAATCCTTCAGCTTACTTGAAAACAACATACCCAGTTCTCCAATGTAGCTGTGAAGGGCCACTAGAATCTTATAGGTGGAGAGCAGCCTTTAGAGCAGTGGTTCTCAAAGTGGGGTCCCCAGACCAGCAGCGTCACCTGGGAACTTGTTAGAAATGCAAATTCTGCATCTACTGACTCAGACTCTGCAGTTAGAGTGCACCATGGTGTTTAACAAGCCCTCCAGGTGGTCTGGTGCACTGCAGTTTGAGAACCAGTGGTCTATTCTGGCTTGGGGCCCAGCATGCAAGGAGGAGCAGCTCACTTGGGGCCAGCAGGTTTCCTCACACACTATCACCTATCATTGGGTGCCTCTGCAAACTGCAGCAGCCACTGATTAGCAAGAGTAGGCAGGTTGCATGACAGTCTCTGAGTGGCTTGTGTCATGGCAGATCTGTGTCTCTCCTGGGCAGTTTAATTGGCTTGGGGCACGGCAGAGGGATCTGTGTACAGAGGGAGTTTGTGAGAGCAGGTATCCCACCCAGCACCAGCAGGCAAGAGCCCTGGGGTCCAGGCCTTTCTTCTTCCTTTACTCCTGATCTGCAGGTCACTTACCCTTTCTGAGCTCCAGCTGCCTCATCTGTAGAAACAGGATGGTGCTGCCTCACTTGCCCTGATTCCAGATCCTGGATCACATGAACCCTCCTGAGGTCTCTTCTTGTTTCTAAGAATGATGATTCTCCATGCCTTACCAGGTTCCCTTGCCCGGTGAACCAGAGGTTGGAGAATGAAAAGTGTAGCTTGGGGCAGATCCAGTTTGGAGGCCACTGTAGATAGCTTGGAGTCCATAGGTTGGGCACAGGGAGATGGGCTCTGGCTTCCCCTGTTGGATGGATGGTGATACGGACACTAGAAGATAAAACCAAACAGACCTGGACCCCTGAGGATGAGGCTGTCTCTCTTCTGAGGTCGGAGAAGAGCTCCACACACTTGCAGCATCCCTTGTCAGCAGAGATGGGAATGAAGCTTGGATAGCGGTTTTCAAGGAAACCCACCAGCTCGTGGCTGGTGAATCGTATAGTGGGGTGTGGGCGTGAGCCTGGCCCTGAAGATGAGCCTGCCCCGGTTGCTATTTCTAGCTGGAGGCCCCAGCAGGTAGAGGATAAACTGGGTTGCCACAGGTCATGCCTGATGCAACTTCTCTTCCTGCCGGGGGGCCTCGGGTCGTGGGTGTTGCTGTTCACCCGAGAAGCTGCCAGTAAGGCTGGTGGGAGCTCCCGGCAGAGCCTGAGTGCACTTTCCTCTTCCCTTTCAGATCTAACCATGAGCTACCCAGGCTTTCCCCCACCCGCAGGCGGCTACCCCCCACCTCCACCAGGTAAGAGGGTCTGGGGCGGGTGGGGGTGGGAATGCCCTCTGTGCTCAGTCTCCAGCAGTAGAGAGGGGAGGAGTAATAGTGCTTTCCAGTCATTTCCTCACTCCTGTTGTGCCCCTACAGTGCAGCCCAGTGGGGGAGGGACTGGAGAAGAGCATGGACCCTGAGGCCAGGAGAGGCCTGGGTTTGAAGCTGCTTCTGGAAGGCCAGGACCAGGTCTCTTGCCTTATTAGCTGATAGCAGTGGGCAAATGGCTTCTCTTCTCTGAGACTCAGTTTTCTCCTTTGCAAATGGCTTCAAGGATCTCTCCTTCCCCTGGCTGTCCCTGATACTAACGAGATAGCCAAGTAAAGCCTCTGGCACGGTGTTCTCTGAAGCACTGTTAGGTAATGATTGCCCCTTGTCACTTCTGCTACCCTTTGCTCAAGGTGCATGGTTTTGCAGTGGCAGGGTCCCCTCTGCTGAGGGAGGAAGTAGAGGCAGTTGCTAAGGGTCAGATGTTCCTGCTATAGCAGTGAGGCTGCACCAGCCAGTCAGGTGATCAGAACCCGGCCCCAGTCACAAGGCTTCTCTTCACACTTAGAAAGCACATTCTCTGGCCTTGGCCCCTCCTGGGTTCCTGAAATGAGATTTGGTCCTCACGGTAGGAAAGGAAGCATGAGGGCTCCCAGGATGAGGGGGAAAAGAGGGACCATCCCAGGCTGGTCGTCCTGAGGTTGCCTGAGCTGCACTGCCCCTCCCCGCCCAGACCGCTGGGCACATTCTTTTCCCTAGTGCTGAGGTCCTTGAATCTGAGCACTGATGGCCCCGCAGGCCATTTGGACCCACCCTCCCATTCAAGGGGTGAAGAACAGGCAGAGCAGGGAGGCGCGGCTCTGCCACTGTCACAGGGTGTATCAGGTTGAGCTGGACCGTTTCCCTCTGAAGAAGCCCCGGCCCAGATTTGCCAGCACTGGCCTCAGTCCCCTCTCTTAGGAGGAACCCCACCATCCATGTCCTACCGCTGCCACCTCTGTCAGCACAGATGTTCAGCCTCTGAGCAGCAAGAGAGGGAGCAGGCGGGTGATTCTGAGGAGGCTCTGTCCTGAGTGTCCCGGAGACCTGGAGCTGAAAAGCCAAACTTGCGGTCCCCGGGGCCTTTTCACTTCCATGGACAGGAATGCATCTCACAGGCAAACAGCCTGCATGATGATGCTCCCTGCCCTGCTGCTTGTCACAGTGACAGCTGTAACATATGAACACTCACCGGGCACCCAGCTATGCCCCGCACAGGCATTAGCTCTCTCAGTCCTCATCATAGCAATTTGAGGCAAATGCTAGTTATTATCCCCACTTGTCAGCTGAGGAAACTGAACTAGAGGGGTTGAGGGCCTCGTCCCAGGGTGCATACCCGTCCTTCTGGTTTCAGAGCTGGGGCCTTTCACTGCTGTCCCCTCACAAGGACGTGCGACTCAGCCCCATCTCCCTCCATCCTCTCATCCTGCTTCTCGCTGCCTCTTACAGACTTGTGATAGCAAACAGCCAAATCGGCAGGACCACCCCCCCGCCCCCCGCCATGCTTTTGCCTCACTCTGGATTCTCCGTACTCCCTGAGCTCCCTGCTGTCATGGGCTTAGCAACAGTGTCCTAAACGACCTGTTCTGTGTCTGCATTCTCGCTCGTGCTGAGCCCAGGAGGGCAGAGCTTGTCCTCGGCCCTCCTACCTCCTTAATACCCCACAGAGGGTCTTGGGAGTGTTTGCTGAACCCCACCTTCCTCCCTGGAAGGAGGAGAAGGTTCCCTCTTCTCTTCCTCTGGCAGCCTGATTGGGTTAGACTTTCTTGCCTGAGTGTTTTCCCTATGGTCTGTAGCCCTGTCCCCAAGGCCCTGTGTGGCCTCTCCTCCTGACCCCCTGGGAGCTTGATGCTCTGCCTTTCCCTGTTGCGAGGCCAACAGGGAGCTAAAGGGCTTGGTGTTGCTTTCAGGTGGCGGTCCCTGGGGAGGTGCTGGCTACCCCCACCCCCCGCCCCCGCCCAACATGCCTCCCATCGGGTTGGATAACGTGGCCAACTACGCAGGGCAGTTCAACCAGGACTACCTCTCCGGACTGGTGAGTCCAGCCCTCCTGCTGGGGCTGCCCCTGGGGCCACACCTGCATGACCAGAGGGGTAAAGGCTGCTGGCTTCCGTGGTGTCAGAGGTGTCTGTGTGTGTGTGACCTGTGGGTGCCTAGTGTGCTGAGCTGCATAATCTTAGGACGTAAGGGTTTCCACTGGGGGCTCTCACCTGCTTGCTGTCTCTCTCTGCATCTTGATTTTCCTACCTGTAAAATGAGGGGAAGGGGAATGCGTTGGCCGCATGGTCTCTCAGGTCCCTTTCAGCCCTGGGGGAGTGTGGGGGGTGCCTTCATGGAATATGTATTGAGCACCTTCTGTGTGGACTCAGCATAGGGGCGGGGGGAGGTGAGAGTGTGTGCCTGTGTGCTTGCATGTGCTGTGTGCGTGCATGTGCTGTATGCGAGCATGTGTGTGTCTGTATGTGGATGGCTGTTCTGGTTGGGACTGGAAGCAGGTGCCTGGTAGCGTGGACAGGCGTGCTACTTTTATTCATTGATTTGCTTTTAAAATAGTGTATTTTGTAATCGGAAAACAAATGTGTGCTTTATGTAAACAGTGCAACCGATACACAGTCTGATTTGTGCCAGGCCTGTTCTAGGCACTGGGGATATGTGAATAAAACAAACGAAAGCCTCAGCCTTGAGTACTTATTCACTGGGAAGAGACAGACAGTAGCCCTAAGTAAGCGGTGTGGAGTTAGAGCGAGTAAGGGGATCGGCAGTGTGGGTGGAGGGGAAGTGGGACAGTGTCAAGGTGGGCCTTGCTGAGAAGCCGCTGGTGCTCAGACTCTGCTCGAGCTCTGACTGTAGCTCCTGAGAGCCCGCTGCAGGGCTCAGGGCAGAGAAGGGCAGATGGCGGAGTGTGGCTGTCCCTGCAGGGGCCGTTAATCTTAGGCTCTGCTTTGTGGACTTTCAGGCAGCCAACATGTCGGGGACGTTCGGAGGAGCCAATGTGCCAAACCTGTACCCTGGGGCGCCTGGGGGTGGCTACCCTCCAGTGCCTCCTGGGGGTTTTGGGCAGCCCCCTTCTGCCCAGCAGCCTGGTCCTCCATATGGGATGTACCCGCCCCCTGGAGGAAACCCACCCTCCGGGATGCCTTCATATCCGCCATATCCAGGGGCCCCTGTGCCAGGCCAGCCCGTGCCGCCCCCTGGGCAGCCACCAGTGACCTACCCTGGACAGCCACCAGTGCCACCTCTTGGGCCGCAGCAGCCGGTGCCAAGTTATCCAGGATACTCGGGGTCCGGAACTGTCACCCCTGCCGTGCCCCCATCCCAGGTGAGTGCCAGTCCTGCCCTACCCTCAGCCAGCCCTGGCGGCAAAGGCCTGAGATGTGTGGCCCAGTGTCCTCTGCCAGCAAGGCCAGGGAGGGTATGGGGGAGGGCTCAGTCCTTCAGCTGTAACTTCTTGTTTTAACAGAGTGTCACTTTCTCACAGACGCCCCACCCCTGGTTTGTATTTCTGAAGATCCCAGGGAGCTGCCCTGTTTTTCCTAGTTTGGTTGGATGTTTTGTGTGCGAGTTGGGTCTGAATGTCCCAGGGTACCCTTCGTTGCTCTTGTGTTACTTACTGCCTGGGCTCTGTGTTTTGTAAGAACTGCTCAGGCCACTGGTCTCCAGGCTCTATGCTCAACAGCTCTTAGTCTTCAGTCCCCTGGATGTGCCTTTCCAGGCTGGTTTTAGAGGATTCTTAAAACCTCCTTTGAGTAGGGAAGATTGTTGGCAGTTCCTTCAGAGTTGCTCTTGGCTCATTTTGAAGAGCAATTCGTGTTTGCAGAGCCTAGAATTCATTGTCATGGTTACGTGACACACCAGCCAAGCACAGAGCTAGTGGTATGTGCTTGACTACTATTTTTAGACAGAGGGTCCCCTCTGCTCCCTGCCCCCATCCCTTAGCCCTGCCCTGCTCTCCATCCTCTCTCCCTGCCTTCTGCCTTATCTTTCCTCTGAGCTTATCTCCTTACCTGTGTTATAACCAGTTTGTACTAGCCACAGAAGATAATCCACCAGGAGACAGTTGAGGCAGGAAAATTCAAGTTTGCTGGGATGTGCAGCTGTTAGTGTCAGGAAAAAGTCTGGCAGGAAAGCAGGTCATAGAGTCTAGAAAACAGTACCAGGGAACCGGTGCTAGTCCAAGAGGTGGTTGGGCTGCATGTACCGTTGTGAAGGTTGACACCTTCATCCCCGCAGAGGGAGCACTTTTTTCTGAATTGCACAAAGGTACTCCATGGACTAGCCAGGCCCCTTTAGGAGGACCCTGATGTGTGCTCTCGTGTGCTCTGGTGGTGAGGCATTGAGAGAAGCCGGTGGCCCCTGTTCCCAAGGCCTCCCCTTCATCAGGAACCCAGGTCCAGCCCTGGAGAACGTGGATGTAGGACATATTTTCAGCATCAGGACTTAGCTATAGGTGGGCTCCTAGCCATGGGAGCCAGGCAGAAGCTTCAGAACCAGGACATGAGGACAGATAACGGTCACATTAGTCCCACTCCACGTAGAGTCCTCTGTGCTGTTGATTGCGGCTTCCTTCAGGTACCCCAGCTTTTAGAGAAAAGGTCATTCCCAGAGTCTGGGGTGGGGCAGTCTCACATCTGGGGGATGCAGCATCTCACCTAGGTCTGTTTGTCCGAGCAGTTTGGAAACCGAGGCACCATCACAGATGCTCCTGGCTTTGACCCCTTGCGAGATGCCGAGGTCCTGCGGAAGGCTATGAAAGGCTTTGGTGAGAGACCCTGGGCGGCTCAAATGCTAACTGCCCCTTGATTCCCCAGGCAGTTACACAGTGGCTCTGTGGGCTGGGGCCGCTGCATGGAGGCAGCCTGCACATGGGGTGTAGTTGGGAGGCGCAGGAGAATTGGAGGACCCAGACCAGGGAAGTCTCCAGCTGCGGAGCATCCCCACGACCCCTGGCTCTGCCCACTCCCACCTCTTCCTCCAGGGACCGACGAGCAGGCCATCATCGACTGCCTAGGGAGTCGCTCCAACAAGCAGCGGCAGCAGATCATGCTGTCCTTCAAGACAGCTTACGGGAAGGTGAGTGTTGGGGTGGGGGCAGGGGGGAGTCTTGGTGGGGGGAGTGGTTTGGTCCCTCCTGAATCAAGGCATATCCTCCAGCACAGCCCTACTCACCCCTGCCTTTCCTTGGGGCCGAGGGAGCCTCGATCTCCTGAGTGGGCAATAAGGCGTATTAAGGCATTTCCTGCTGCCCACCCGGCCAGTGGCCTCTTGGCTGATGGCATCTTCTAGAGGTGAAGGATGCTCTGAGGGAGAAATCTCACAGTCCACAGGGTACTGAGATTTGATGAGAGGCGCTCAGAGATCTGAGTTGTAGCCCTGTGTCTGCCATGACTCACTGAGACCAGGGGCAAGTCATTTCCCCTCCACTCCCACCCGGCGTGTCCCCTCCTGGAACCCAGGCTGCTCTCCCTGACCGCTTCATGACCACCCACGGAAGTTTAGCTGATAGAAGAGCTTTGAAGGAAAAGGCTTTAAGTACTGAACACACGCAAGTATATTTTGAACTTTTGAATCTTCGAAAGGTGAAAATGGTAGACATTGAATAGGCAAGTGTTCTAGCTCAGCACATCTCCAACTTTAATGTGCCCTGGATCGCCTGGGATCTGGTTCAAATGCAGGCTCCGATTCTGCAGGTCTGTGCTGGGGCCTGAGGTTTGGCTTTTCTGCTGATTCTACTGGTCCTCGGATCTGGGATATTGTCCCTATTAATCACTTTCTGTGGATTCTCAAAATAGGGTTTTTTGTTTGTTTGAATATCCAATCAGGATTTGATCAAAGATCTGAAATCTGAACTGTCAGGAAACTTTGAGAAGACAGTCTTGGCTCTGATGAAGACCCCAGTCCTCTTTGACGTTTATGAGATAAAGGAAGCCATCAAGGTGTGTACGTGTGCATGTTTGTGTTCATACGTGTGGACACAGCCTAGGGGAAAGCCTGGACCGCGTGCTGTGTCTTAGCCTGCTCATTAGCCACTGTTGTCACTGTGGCTCCTGGACCCTCTCAGGTTGGACTCCAAGTGCTGTAGAAAGGAGAACTTCTGTGACTTCCCCAAGAGGCAGATGAGGTATCATTCAGCATCAGGGAGCATCTAAATCTCTCTCCATCTTAAAAACATGGTAGGGGCTAGAGTTGTAGAGGAAGCTAGTGGTGCAGTGATAAGAAAAGGCGTATGAGGCGTGAGTGGTGTCGTCCTCATTCATTAGGACTCTGTTATTAGCAAATAACAGAAACACTCTTGAGTGTAAGCATAACCAAGATGGAGACTCAGTTATGGGGATGAAGACTAGCAGCTGGCATGGAAAGGGATGGGGCCCAGGCAGGATGTCTCTCTTGTCTCTGCTTCTTCTTGAGTGTCCTCTTCATTCTTCATCTGCTTCTGTGCTTCTTTTTTCATGTCTGTTTGGCAGAGGATCCCTGTTGACCCATCTCCATTTACCTCTCAGAGATCCAGCCGCAGAAGGGACCACTAGTCCCCTCATTCCAAATTCCAAATAGGGAGTAGATTCTGATTGGCTTAGTTTGGGTTCACTATCTCCCCCAGTCCAATAGGTTATGACCAACGGGCAGGTTATAACCATTCCAGAGAGTCCTGTGGCTCCCAAGACCCACAGCAGGTATCCAGTGGATGGGGAGGGGGCAGCTCCCACAGAAGAGGAAATCCTTGTGAATCGAACAGGTCCTCCAAAGGAATGCACCATTCCTCTGAGGCCTGATAGGTGGGCACAGTGACTTTTCCTTCCCCCAAGAGGAGAAGCAGAGAATTCAGTGTGACTCCACTAAAACACACCTACGTGCTTTCTTCTAGGGAGGGAGTCAGGAGGCAGTTGGGGAGGGCGATGGCTTGGGGCCCCCGGGAGTGGCCCCAGCGCCTGCCCCCACCAGCTTCCTGAGGTGATGGTGGTTGTGGAGCGCTGGAAACAACACAGGTTTAGGGTCTGCTGTCACCAACTAGCTGTGTATCCTTGAGCATCTGTAAAATGGGGTCGTGGATGCTCTGTCTCATGACCGTGTGGTGAGCTGAGCAAGGTGGCTAATGGAAGCTCTTTGTAAACCCTAAGTAATCTAACGGTAGCAGTAATCATAAAAATAGGTAGTCCTCTGTCGTGCTTCCTGCGTGACAGGCACTGTTCTGAGCACTTTACGTATGTAACTCCTTTAATCCTCGTGACTTCCCTATGAGCTAGGATCACTGCCATTTATTGACAGGGAATCTGAGGCACAGAGAGGTTAAGTAACGTGCCCGAGGTCACACAACTTGTAAGCGGCAGAGTCAAGATTCAAACCGACATAGAAGCCTGGCTGCTGCCCTTGTCCTCCACCTTCTCACTATCCCTGACGTGCTCGTCTCTTTCATCCTCGTTGTTGCCACCTCTTCCTGGATGTCTCCAGATGCTCCACAGTCCACTCTAGGACTCTAGTTTTTCCACATGTCCGCTCTCTTGCTTTAAACCCATTTTCTGTGTCAGTTGTTTCTCATCTCATTCATAGGCTGAACTTGGAATAAAACAGGTATGGGTCCACGTCTCAACCACCGTTTACTGTGTGGCCTTGGACAAGTCACTACACCTCTCTGATTCTCAGTTTCCTGGTGGGTGGAATGGGGATGATCCTTCGTGTGGTCTCTGCTCAGCACCATGTTGCTGTTGTTGTCCGGTACTTGCCTGGGCCCGTGGAGGGGAGCTTGGCTGCCTCAGAGCCAGGCAGCAGCAGTCCTTTGGGGGTGTCTCTGTGTTAGTGGCTCCTATTGCTGGAGTTTGTGCCCTGGGGGGTAGGGCAGCAGTGTGGCACCTGCTCTGTTTCCTGGGTACCAGTGAGGGAGCTATAACAAGCTTGTGGCTTGTTGTGTTCTCTGCCACCACAGGGGGCTGGCACCGATGAGGCCTGCCTGATTGAGATCCTCGCCTCCCGCAGCAACGAGCACATCCAGGAATTGAGCAGAGCCTACAAAACAGGTCAGGCTGGCCCCCAGGGCCTCTGCCCTCTGCTGACCCCTGTGCTTTCTGGGCCTTGGCCACAGCCTCTCCCAGGGTCTGTATTCTCCTAGCCTTCTTATCTACTCATCTCCTGCCACCCATCAAACACTGGGCTTTGATCCAAGACCCAACCTTGCCTGCTATTTACACACGGGCCAGGTGACTAAGGTAAGGGAAGGCTGGGGAAAACCTCTTGAGTGTGGTTTGGGCCATGACTGATCAGAGGCCAGGTAAGCCTGGAGGTCACAACCCCTCCTGGATCTCTACCTGTATGTCCCTGGATGCCGTGTGGGCTGCCTGTCTCCTCGTGCCCAGGACTCCCAGACCCTTCTCTTGCCATTGCCCACTGTTGACTGTGTGCCGTGGGCAGCTTCATCCACGTGGCTGCAAGGTGGACCTTCCTTGTGTCTTTCAGAATTCAAAAAGACCCTGGAGGAGGCCATTCGGAGTGACACATCAGGGCACTTTCAGCGGCTCCTTATCTCTCTCTCTCAGGTAACTTTCGCACGACAGAGCTCGGGGCTCAGAGAGAGGCAGATCTTTGAGCAGTGAGGAAAAGGAGCGGGGAGGGAGGGCTGTGCAACTCCAGGGAGTTGGCCTGACCGTACAGCTGCTTCCTTTCAGGGAAACCGGGACGAAAGCACAAATGTGGACATGTCGCTTGTCCAGAGAGACGCCCAGGTGAGTGTGGTGGCCAGGCCAGGCGCCCCATCTGGCTTCCTAAGCCAGGGGGTCCCCCACTTTCTTGCTTCACAAGGGAGGAGCTTGGGATGGAAGGAGCAACAGAGAAGGAGTATCCAGATACTGTGAGTTTCAGACAGTCCCTGCTGCTTATCAACTGTGTGGCCTTGAGTGGGTCACCCAACCTCTCTAGGCTCATTTCCCCACCAATAAGAGGGAACACGGGAGATAATAAATATTACAGCCCTTGGTGAATCATAGTTATAGACATGGGATTTCACATGAGTTGGTACTTTCCTTGGGTTTGCACATGGACAGAATTCACACTTGTCCGTTAAGCTTTTGAAGATTTGAGCCTAGAAACCAGCTGTCACATTAGTTGTGCAGCCTTAAAATTCTGCCCTTGTCCCCAGCCTGGTGTGAACTGCAGACAAAAGATGAAAAGTCTCCCACCATTTCATCTCTTTGTCCAGGCACCTGAGTGCCTCACTAGAGGATTTGGGTTTTCCGCTGATGAATTTAGACCATAGCGGTTCTGGTGGGAGGGAGCTGGCCACACCTCTTTCTCCCCCTTCATTGCTCCTGCCACCCATGGTGGGGCATGCACCAGGCACTGCCAGTGGTCTCCTTATCTTTACTTTCTACCAGGGTGAAGAGGACCTCTGTGGAGTGCCCTCTTGTCAGGGCTGGAAGAGAGCCACTCTTCTGGTCTGATCCATTTGCTTTCCAGATGGGGAAACTGAGGCTCAGAAAGGTTGAGCATTGTGCCCAGAGAAACCTGGAGGCAGAATCTGGACAAGGGCCCGACTCCTGGCCCTGTTCTCTGTGCCCAGGCAGTGCACAGAGCCCTAGTCCCAGACCCCTCCTCAGTTAACATCTCCCTGGCCTGAGACATCCGTTCTCATTTGTGGACTCAGGGCTGGACGTCCCCAAAGCTCCCAGGCTCTGGCTCTTGCTGCAGTGGTGGTTTTCCTATTTCCTTTATATGCTGTTTGCTAGCTGAGGCAGAAGTTGCCTCAGTTTCAAGGTCTCTTGCCTACTGCTCTGCCTTCTTAGTTTGGACCTGCTCGGCCTCACCTTGACCTGTGGGATCTCTGAGCCCCTGATGGCCATCTTCTGCCCTTGGGTATCAGTGCCTTTCCATCAAGAGCTGCTACCTGAGGCCTTGAAAGCACTTTAGAACCATCTGGTGCGGGGGTTGCAAATTGGCAAATATTTTGGGCTCACACTTTTGAAAGCTTAATAGGCAAGTGCAGATTCTGCCCATTTGCCAACATAATGGTATATGCAGTGAAACACAGGGAAAGTGCCTAGCACATGAAATCCCACATCCGTCACTGTGATCTCTCAATTGTTGTGCTAGTTATTGTCTCACGTATTCCTTTTAGATAGGGAAGCTGCTTTTAAAGATTGGGAAATTTGACATAGAAATCTGGATTTCTGGCTTCTCATGAGAAATGGATCTGGCAACTGTGAGCCTGTGTTCCCTCCATCAACGTTCTCAGCTGGTTCTGAGAAGCAGTCGCCTGTCTGTGTGGTTAGCCTTGGTCCCCACCACTCCCTGGCCTTATAGCTGGCCTGTTTCCCTCATTTAAGTTACCCAGCTGGCCCCCTTGGGCTTTCAGGTTTGTGACCCCAAATCTAATCCAAGCTTCGCCTTTTAGAGATGAGAAACTGAGGCTCAGAGGGGCCAGTGGCCTGCCTAGAGTCCCCTGGCAAGTTGGTAGCAGAGCTAGGACTCAAGCCCAGGCCTCTCATTCGTGTTTTCCTCTGTGCTGCTGCTCCCTTGGTTGGGTTAAAGCTGTTCCTTGCCTATCCTGGGCCCCAGTCGGTCTTGCCTGGTCCTGAGTTCCCCCAGCCTCAGAACCTTCTGTGTTGCCCAGTGAGGGAGTGTGGCTGGTGTCTATTTCGGCACAGTGAATGGAGCACAGCTGAGGCACTGCTCGCATTTCCTTCCCCTCTTGGCCTGCAGGGCCGGGAGACTCTGCCCAGGTCTCCCAAGTGACCTGGGCCTGGTGTCTGGGGCGAGGCCTGCATCGCATGTCTGTCTTCCCCTCTGTCTGTCCAGGAGCTGTTTGCAGCTGGGGAGAACCGCCTGGGAACAGATGAGTCCAAGTTCAATGCAGTTCTGTGCTCCCGGAGCCGGGCCCACCTGGTGGCAGGTAACGCAGTCCGGACCTCCCTGGGGCCAGGTAGATGAGGGCAGAGAAGGTATTGTGGGAAACAGAGCTTGCAGGAACACTTGGCAGTTATACTTTGCATGAGGCTTTTGCTTCCTTAAAAGAGCCCCTGGTGGTGATTTAAAAGATGTTATCAGTGGGTTTCCTGAGGTTCTGCAAGCGTCGGGTTCTGGAGGAAAGAAAAGGAAGAGGCGAGGGAAATAGGAGCCTCCTTGGCTGGTATCTTTTTTTTGTTGTTGTTAAGAAGACTAGCCCTGATCTAACATCCAATGCCAGTCCTCCTCTTTTTGCTGAGGAAGATTGGCCCTGGGCTAACATCTGTGCCCATCTTCCTCTGCTTTATATGGGACACCGCCACAGCATGGCTTGACAAGTGGTGCGTCGGCGCGCGCCTGGGATCTGAACCTGTGAACCCCGGGCCACCAAAGCGGAGCACACACGCTTAACTGCTGCGCCACCGGGCCGGCTCTCCTTGGCTGGTATCTTTACATGCTGGAATGTGAAATGTTAGAGTTGAGAGTGTGCGCCAAGAACACCTAATCCAAAACGTCCCATAAAAAATAAGCATAACACGAGGCTGGCCCCGTGGCTTAGCAGTTAAGTGCGCGCGCTCCGCTACTGGCAGCCCAGGTTCGGATCCCGGGCGCGCACCGACACACCGCTTCTTCGGCCATGCTGAGGCCGCGTCCCACATACAGCAACTAGAAGGATGTGCAACTATGACATACAACTATCTACTGGGGCTTTGGGGGGGGAAAAGAAAAAGGAGGAGGATTGGCAATAGATGTTAGCTCAGAGCTGGTCTTCCTCAGCAAAAAGAGGAGGATTGGCATGGATGTTAGCTCAGGGCTGATCTTCCTCGGGAAAAAAAAAACATAACAGTAAGACTAGGTAAGGTTTATTAACTCATTCATTCAACAAATATGAATTGAGCTCCTGCCACGTGCCAGGTCACACAGTAGGTGTGGAGAAACTTAGGGAACAGTGCTACATCATCACTGTTCTCATGGGGATCACCTTCTTGTTTGGGGTGATGGGCAGTAAATGAAAAGAAAATTTGTACCAAGTGGTAAATCCTTTAGAGAAAATAATAAAGTTAGAAACAGGGATAGGGAGTGATGGAGGACGGTGCGAGGGGGGGGCAGTGGTTGGGGCAGTCCACTGAGGTAATGATATTTCTGTTAAAAACATGAAGGAGCTGCAGGTGCAATGGCCCTGAGCAGGGGTCTCCCAGCACGACTGAGAACCAGTGAAGGGAGTCGGTGTGGCTGGAGCAGATGGAGTGAGAGTAGTAGGAGGTGAGGTCAGAGATGGAAGGAGGCCCTGCTGACAGTTGCATGGACTTAGTGTTTATCCTGAGTAAAACCGGAACCCATCGAGGGCTCTGAGTGGAGGAGGAACGTGATTGGACTTAGATTTTGCAAGTTCACTGGCTCCTGTGTTGAGAAGAGTGGAGGGGTCAATGGCAGAGCAGGAAACCAGTTAGGAGGCAGCTGCAGTAATCCAGAGGAGAGATGATGGCGGCTAGGACCAGGTGGCAAGGACAGAGGGTGAGAAGGGGTCAGATTCTGGCCCTGTTTACTGATGAATTGGACGTGGAGTGTGAGAGAAAGAAAGGAATCGAGGATGACACAGGGATTTTTTCCCGCTGAGCCAATGGAAGAATGGGGTGGCCCTCTGCTGAGCTTGGGAAGCTGTGGACGGAGCAGGCTTTAGGAGGGAAGGAAATCGGGAGCCTCAGGCTGGAGATAACAGGTAGGCAGCTGGGTTTATGAGTCTGGAGATCAGGAGAGGTTGGACTCAAGTTGGCGGTTTGGAAGCTGTGAACGGCTTGAAAGTGTTTGAGGCTCTGGGACTGCACGAGGTCCTCTCTGGAGGAGACCGGAGAGAGAGAAGCAGTCCAAGGACAGGGCCCTGGCTGTCGCAGGAGACTAGGAAGGAACACTCAGAGAAAGGGATGTCCTGGAGGCCAGCAGTGTCAGAACAGCTCATGTGTGAGGCAGGCAAGGAGTGAGAATGACGGCCACACTTAGCAACACGGGTGGGTGGCTTGGGTGAAAACCTAGGCACCTCCTCTGTGCGTGCACGAGGTCTTTTAACATGTACGCGCAGATAGGTGCTGCTGTTCTCCCATGTTATGGATGAAGAAGCAGGCCTGGGGCGGTGGGGGAAGTTGGGTCACCCAGCTGGCAACGTGGCCAAGCTCAGATTTGACCTCAGGCTGTCTGGCTCTAGAGCACAGTGTTTAACCTCTACGCTACACTGTAATGGAGCGTGAGTGAACATATTTTCATCTTAATCGTTATTTACTTTAATGAGTGTGGAATTATATAAGTAGTAATGGTTTCACAAACGTTATTAGTTAGGAGAAAAGAGGAGCTGATCTGAAGAAATATTAAGTAATGAAGACGGATGTAGAGATAGCGGAAATCATGACACTGATATACAAATGACGGAAGTTTGGAGAACACTGACAGAAACGGAGACTGAGGCTGGGGAAGAAGGATTTATATCCAGGGTCAGAGCTAAAGTTAGGACCCAGGTCTCCATTGTGCCGCCTGCTTTCTAGGAACCTGCAGTCCACTTCCTGTGGTGCTCAGCTCGTTCTAGGGTGAGCTGGGGGCGCGGGGTGGGCGTTAGCCCAGTCAGATTGAGAAAGACAAGACTGACGCCTGGATGATGGAGAAGGAGTGGCATGGACTAGAAGTGTAGGGGATTTGAGAAGAGAGGGAGCTCTTCGGTGTGTGGGGCTCCTGGACGGGGATTAAGGTGCGATCTGGTAAGCAGTCTGGTGAGGGGACCGCATGAGCGGGCTCAGGGGGAGTGCCCCCGACTTTAGGGTGAAGCACCTCGCTGACCGAGAGCTGGGCAGGTATGGTCAGTGGGGCCGTCTAGGGTGCTGGGAGCAGAGTGGGAGAGTGGGCTCAGGAGCGGGCAGAGGCCTCCTCACTGTGTGTCCTGTATTAATTTGCTCCGGCTGTCATGATAAAGTACCACAGACCGGGTGACTTAAATGACAAATTCATTTTCTCACAGTTCTGGAGGCTGGCAGTCCAAGGTCATGGTCTCAGCAGCTTTGGTTTCTTCTGAGGCCTCTCTCCTTGGCTTGCAGATGGCCGTCTCCTCACTGTGTCTTCACGTGGTCTTTCCTCCATGTGTTTCTTTGTGTGTCCAAATCTCTTCTTAAAAGGGCACCAGTCTGATTGGCCCCCATTAAGGGCCTCATGTTAACTTAATTACTTCTTTAAAGACTTGATCTCCAAATACAGTTACATTCTGAGATACTAGGAGTTAGGATTTCAACATATGAACTGGGGGAAGGGACAGAATTCAGTCCATAACTTGTCCCTTCTGTCTTCCCACTAGTTTTCAACGAGTATCAGCGAATGACAGGTCGAGACATTGAGAAGAGCATCTGCCGGGAGATGTCCGGGGACCTGGAGCAGGGCATGCTGGCCGTGGGTAGGTGTCTTGGGCTTGCCTCGCCCGCCTGCCTGCCCACTGGGGACTGGCGTGTACTGTAATTGTCAGGGTGCTCACCCATCCTCTGGTTGAGGGTCATGCAGTGAAAGAACCACAGGATCCAGGATGGCTGCATCCAGCTGCCTAAATGGTGGGAAGTCACGCTGCTGCCCGGATCCCTGCGCAGGTGTACGCAGCCATCCTGGAGCTGTCCTGTTTATATTTCAAGCGCAGCTCCAGGCAGGGGAGTTGCAGTGTGGGTGTTAGTGGGCGAGCAACCAACTGCTCTCCCGGAGGAAGATGACTCATATCCTGCCAAGTTTCCTCTAAAAATACATCCCTGCAGGCAGTTGTCAGATGTTTGTGATGGAAACACGTGGAAAGATTTTTACTTGCAACAGGCCCTTGCTAAGGAGAGCTGGCGTAGCTCCTGGGTTGATGTTGGGCTTCTTGCCGTGCCTGAGCCCTGACCTCTGAGGCAGGGCCTGACGGGCTCCAGGTCCTGCCGCCTAGAACGGTTGCCTCCTCTTTATACCCACTTGGGAAAATCCTCCTCATTTCTCTGCACATCCCCTGCTGTTTATATCATGGCTTGAAAACTCGAGGGAGACCTTCGTTCTTCCCGGCTGTCCCTTCTCCATGAGGATCGCAGCGTCTCCAGCCTGCCCCTCCCGCCTGAGCAGCACACGGTCCTCATCGCTGTCCACGTTTCTCCCCCACAGCTCCTTTCACCATGTGGGTTGCCAGGAAAGAGGCTGGGTTGGTCCGGGCTCTGCATGTTTCTATTCCAAAGAACTGGAGCCAAGACCATGGATAATTGAGCCTGGAGGAGAAGGGGGGAGAGGAAGAAGGATGCAGGGATGGGCTTGACATCTGGCCTCCTAAGGGGACACTCGTGCACACCATGCCCACTTGGACTGAGTTTTCTGCAGATCGAGTTATGCCATTTTTCTCTCTTCTAGTGAAATGCCTAAAGAATACCCCAGCCTTCTTTGCTGAAAGACTCAACAGAGCCATGAGGGTACGTAAATCTCTTGTGCAGGGTCTGGGTGGGGATGTCTCAGCCCCACCTGTGACTGGGACCAAAGGCTCAGGGTGGAAGGCATGGGGAGAGCCACCCCTCAACCAAGGGGACAGAGGGCCCACAGGCGGAGAGGGGGCCAGAGTGCCTGGGGAAGTTGGGACAGTGAGGTGGCTTGTTGCTCACGCCCTTGGGTGGACTCTCTTCAGGGAATAGGAACAAAGGACCGGACCCTGATTCGCATCATGGTGTCTCGCAGCGAGATCGACCTCCTGGACATCAGAATGGAGTATAAGCGGCTGTATGGCAAGTCGCTGTACCACGACATCTCGGTATGGGCCCCCGGGTGCTGTGGGCTGCCTCTTGGTGTCCCACTTGCCTGTGGACCTCCTTGGCCACCCCCACTGTCCCCTTTACTTCTCTCTCCTCAGAACTCCATGGGCTTGGCGAGGGCTCTGGGGTCACCCGCTTGGAGCCCAGTTCTGGCTTTTCTGCGTGCTCACTGTGTGATCTCGAACAACTTCCTTAAGCCTCCCTGAACCCCAGTTTCATCCTCCTTAAGATGAGGTTGATAATAGCTCCTCCAAGGAGTGTTGTGAGTTTTGCACAAGGCAGTCCATGTAAAGCATATTGTGTGGCAATAAGTGTCTCACAAACGCTATCTACTCTTTTATCACCGTGTGCCAGAGCCAGTCTGACAAAACTTATTCCAGTCTGGGTGGTCCAACAGTTACATCCTGAACTCACATGCACCTTGAAACTGCAGGCACCGCGACCAGGTCCTGATTTCAGACTCACTAGCGTTTGATGTTGGGCATGTTGCTGAGAGAAGCTAAACTCCATTTTCCTGGCTATAAAATGATGCTGTGGATAGCAGAGAATTAGTAATTATTCACCAAGTATCTTCTGTGTGGGCATCTTGAAGAAGCCGTGGCCTTGCCGTCAAGGAAGGAAATGATTAGAAATTAGCTAAGCGTGGGCTGCACTTTTAAAGTAAGTGCGATGGGCTCAGGTGGAGGAGAGGTCAGGTGAGCTGGGATGCCCAAGTAATAACTGCACCCTCTTCTGGAAGGTCATATCACAGCAGATTACCTTTCCTGAGCGGGACATCATACTAAGTTACGGTATAGTCCCAATTTGGGGCAACAACAGTGCGCTGCAAAAAGACCACCATTAGTTAGCCTTGGGGCAGGGGGGAGGGTTTGGGCTGTTTTAAATACTCTTTTGGTTTTATTTTTCAAATTCTGACTTTAATCATTGGGGCGAGTACAGCTTTCTATGTTTTACAGAGGGCTGGGGAGGCTGAACTGCACTATCCAAGGTCTGCACCAGCTGTAATGTCGAGTGCATGAGCCCCTCACCCAGCGCGATGGGGAATCTCCTTGGGGTGGGCCTGCCTCTCTATCAGAGCGCTTGGGGCAGAAGGAAATCGGAGCCAGGAGGCCAGAACTGGCCATGCCTCCCTTAACTGATGTCCTCCTTGTTCCTGTGACCAGGGAGACACTTCGGGAGATTACCGGAAGATTTTGCTGAAGATCTGTGGTGGCAACGACTGAGCAGTGACGGGTGGTTCACTTCTGTCCACCTGCTGGCAAGGGTGATGCCGGGAAAAGGCCAAAGAATATCCACCTGCTTCTAACAAATCCTCAACATAGCCCCTCAGGTGTCCCATTGCGGGCCGTCCGCAGAGCCTTGGCCCTGTCCTCCCCTGCCCCTCCTGATCTGTCCAGCGTGCTCCTGCCGAAGGACCTGGGTCTGTCTCCAGCTCTCGCAGGATGCCTTTTCCTCCCCACCCCTCACAGCTTCTTACTGCTCAAGTAGATGTTTTATTTCCTGACTCATGCAATCATTCCCCTTTGCTTGTGGCTGAGACTCTTGGCTTTGTTTTCGTCATGTAGTTTTCTATGTTTATTTGGAGGCATTTTTTTTATAGTCGTTGCCAGACAGATGCATACAAGTCTGTTTGCTGCATACACATTTCCAGTGAGAGAGGTTGGGTGGGGGAGCAGTGTGTCTGTCCTCACTGAGGAGTAAAAGGGAAGACCTTTTAAGGGTCATCTTTGCATCTGGTAAGAATGTGTCATGAGCTTTGTTTTTGCCAAACTCACTCCTTTTTAGAAAAGAAAAAAAAAAAGCCAGAAAGTCATCTGTTTCTTCTTCCATGCAAAACCACAAGAACAAAGCCAGCTCCCTGCCAGTGATAGGGCTTCTTATAATTTGGAATGTGCCTTAAACCTGAATGTCAATAGCCAAAAGCTGTTTCTAAATTAAAGTCAGCCAGCTCTGGAACGTTCTGGAAATGTTTCCCTGGTGCCAGCTTGTTTTCTTCTGCTTCATGATTCTGCTCTGTAGCTCAAGGGTTCCAGCCTTATTAGCCAGTGAAAATTTATATGACTTTAAATAGAAACTTGTGCTCAGGAAACCCTGAGCATAAGTAATTCACCAGGACCTGGGTTGTTTGGACATGAGAAGAGAAGTTTCTGAAATCCATGCTGGGGGCCCAGACACTGAAAAGGTGTGGGGATTTGGTCAGATCTGAGCACACTGAAGCCCACTGAAGGCGAGGTAGGAAGGACGGTGGTTCTTCACCCAGGTCCTGAAGGAGGGGCATGGGCGGGAGGGTGTGTGCATGGCTCCTAGGGTAGGCCTTATGGCCAGGGACCAGAGAGGAGAGTGTGGGGACAACCCAGAGAGGTACAAGATCAGCACCTTCCCTCAGGGGCCCTTCAGTCTCAAAGGGTGCTCCTGGCTGTGGTCCCCGGTGGGCCCTTTGTCCCTTGGTTGGTGGTGGTAGGAGAGGGCGAGTCCAGAAGGGGCAGAGTTTCTAGAAATCACTGTGTTGTGTCCAGAAGCCCAGAGCTTGCCTTGCTGGTTGAGGGTCCCCACTCATTCCCCTTGTGATCTCCAGTGTTGCAAGTTTAGAAAGGAGAGACTCCAGAGACTAGAGTTGAGATCAAGCCTGCTGGGCCCTGGCAGGGCCCCAGGGAGTGGCTTGTCCACAGAGTAGACATCTGCTTGAGGTTACTGCCTGACTTCTCACTGCCCCCTGGACATAGAGGAGGGGATGACCCAAGGGGCCTGGAGCAGCCATGAGCTGGACACCAGCCCGGTCTACCTAGACCTGCCTTCCCCACCAGAGAAGGCTGATGTGGGCACTGGAATTGATGACCGGCCCTGCTCATCACTTCAGCTCTGCCTCAGTTTCCATGCCTGGAGCCTCTTGACCAAGACCTAGCATGCTTGGCTGAGGAGCTCCTCCCCTGGGGCAGGGCACTTGCCCTTGGTCACTAGGTGGGACCTGCTCGGTGGGATGGACTGCTTGGCATTGCACAACTTGCCGTGAACTCAGGCTGCCCCTGGCAGCCTCCTGAGCTGTGCCAGGGCCTAGATTCAACCTGCTGTAAGGTGACTGTAAATGTTCGGTGACTACTTTGCCCTGTTGTCTACACCACAGGTTTCAAACTGGTGCCCAGCAGGCAGTATTTGACCTGAACACACATTGACTTTGGTCCCCAAAGAGTCTTTTTAGACATTGGGATTTGTTGCCAACATTTAAACACTGAGAGATTTCATATTTTAAAAAATCGGGAATTCTGGCTTCTCTTGAAAAACCAGAAGTTCTGGCAACACTGGCCCAGCATTCCTGCATAGCAGTTGCTGCTAGAGCCAAATTGCAGCTGCCCCCTTTAGGCAGGGACTCTCCATTTTGCCACAGGCTCCACCACTCCCTATCGTTTTACACCAAGCACATGTTACCTGCAGGCCTTTGAGTTTGAGACCCCTGGTCTACACACTCAAAGGTAGTGTGTAGACTACCTTTAGTAGTAGTCTAAAGGTAGTCGACTACCTTTAGGTAGTACTACTAACACAAAATATGGCCATAATAGAATTTATTTATAGATATAAATTGTAAGACAAAATAAATTGCAAAATAGTACAAGTCTTATTAGTAATTACTTTAAATATAAATGGAATAAACTCTCCAATTAAAAGGCAGAGATTGGCAGGCAAAGGACATTATATCCTGATAAAAGGGTTAATCCATCAAGATATAACAATTAAAAACATATATACACCTAACAATGGAGCCCCAGAAAGTTTGAAACAAAAACTGACAGAATTGAAGGGAGAAAAAGTTCAACAATAATAGAGTCTTCAACACCCCACTTTTCCTCTTGGATAGAACAATTAAACAAAAGATAGACAAGGAAACCTAAAACTTGAACAACACTATAAACCAACTAGACCTAATAGACATATATAGAACAGTCTACCTGACAACAACAATAACACATTCTTCTCAAGTGCATGTGGAAAAATTCTCCAGATAGACCACAAAACAATCTAAATAAATTTTAGAAGAGTGAAACCATACATAGTATTTTCTATGCCTACAATGGAATTAAATTAGAAATAAATAACAGGAGGAAATCTGGAAATTTTACGAATATGTGGAAACTAAACAACATACTTTAAAAAAATTCCAATGGGTTAAAGAAGATGTCACAAGAGAAACTAGAAAATACTTTGAGATTAATGAAAATGGAAGCACAACATACCAAAACTTATGGGTTGTGGTGGAAGCAGTGCTCAGAGGGAAATTTTTAGCTGTAAATGTCTACACTTAAAAAGAAAAAAGATCTCAAATCAATAACCTAAACTTCCACATTAAGGAATTAGAAAAAGAAGAGCAAACTAAACCCAAAGCAACCAGAAGGAAGGAAATAATAAAGATTAGAGTGCAGATAAACAAAATAGAGAATAGAAAAACAACAGAATCAACAAAACAAAAAATTGGTTCTTTGAAAAGGTCAACAAAATTGACAAACCTTTAGCTAGACTGACAGAGAAAGGGAGATAGAGGGAGGAGACTCAATTACTAAAATCAGAAGTGAAAGTGGGGACATTATTAACAATCTTATAAAATAAAGGATTATAAGAAAATACTGTTAATAATTGTATGCCAACATATTAGATAACCTAGATGAAATGGGAAAATCCCTAGACATACAAATTTCCAAATCTGACTCAAGAAGAAATGGAAAATCTGAATAGACCTATAACAAGACATTAAATCAATAATCAAAAACATCTCAACAAAAACATGAACCAGAAGGCTTCACTGATGACTCTATCAAACATTTAAAGAAGTAACACCAATCCTTCTTAAACTCTTCCCCACAAATTGAGAAGGAAGGCTTCCTAAATCATTTTGTTACCCTGATACTGAAGCCAGAAAAAGACATCACGAAAAAAGTGCAAAAATCCTCAATGAAATACTTCAGCAAACTGAATCTAGCAGCATAATAAAAGGATTATCCACCAAGACCAAGTGGAATTGATCAAAGGAATACAAGGATTATTCAATACACAAAAATCTGTCACTACAATACACATTATTAATAGAGGGGGATAAAAACCTCATGATCATCTCGATGCAGAAAAAGCATTTGAGAAAACCCAACTCCCTTCCATGATTAAAAAAAAAGAAACTTAGAAGGAAAATTTATCAATCTGAAATGAAGGGCATCTATGAAAAGCCACAGTTGATATACTTAATGGGAAAGAATAAAAGCTTTCCCCCAAGATCAGAACATGACAAAGATGTCTGCTCTTGCCACTTTTATTCAACATTGTATTGGAAGTTCTAGCCAGGGCAATTAGGCAAGAAAAAGAAATAAAAGCATCCAAGTTGGAAAGTAAGAAGTAAAACTCTATTTGCAGATGACATGATCTTATATGTAGAAAATCCTAAAATAGCCACACAAAAACTATTAGAGCTAATAAACAAATTCAGCAAAGTTGCAGGATAGGATACATGATCAACATACAAAAATCAGTTGTATATTTATGCACTAGCAATGAACAATCTGAAAATGAAATTAAGAAAACAATTCCATTTATAGTAATATCAAAAAGAATAAAATACTTAAGGATAAATTTAACCAAGGTGGTGTAAGACCTATACACTGAAAAATACAAAAAAAATACAAAATATTTTCTGCTCATGGATTGGAAGACAGTATTGTTGAGATGGCAATACTCTGCAAATTGATCTCCAGATTTAATCCAATCCCTATCAAAATTCCACCTGCCTTTTTGCAGATATGGACAAGTTGATTCTAAAATTCATACGGAATTGCAAGGGACTTGTCCCCAAATAGCAAAAACAGTCTTGGAAAAGAAAAAAAAAGTCAGGGAATCCATACTTCTTAATTTCAAAACTTACTACAAAGATACAGTAATTCAAACAGTGTGATACTGGCATAAAGATAGGCATATAGATCCATGGGCTAAAACTGAGAAATAAACCTAAACATCTATGCTCAACTGATTTTTGACAAGGGTTCCAGGACCATTCAATGGAGAAAGAATATTCTCTTCAATAAGTAGTGCAGGGACAACTGGATATGCACAAACAAATGAATAAAGTTGGATCCCTACCTCACATCATATACAAAAATTAACTCTACATAGATCCAAGAACTAAATGTAAGAGCTAAAACTATTAAAATCATAGAAGAAAACATAGGACTAGTTATGACCTTGGGCTTGGCAATGGATCCTTAGATGTGATACCAAAAGCACAAGCAACAACAACAAAATAGATAAATTGGACTTCAAAATTAAAACTTTTGTGTTTCAAAGGACATTATCAAAAAAGTAAAAAGACAACCCAAAGAATGAGAGAAAATATTTACAAATCATCTGATAAAAGCCTAGTATCCACGATACATAAAGAACTCTTACAACTCAATAAAAAAAAGACAACCCAATTTTAAAAATGGGCAAAGGGCTTGAACAGACATTTCTCCAAAAAATGTATACAAATGGCCAACAAACACATGAAAGATGCTCAGCATCACTAGTCATTAGGTAAATGCAACTTAAAGCCACAATGAGATACGACTTCACACCTAGTATGATGGCTATAATCAAAAAGACAGATGTTGGTGAGGATGTGGAAAAATTGAAACCCTTGTATATACATTGCTGGGAAGGTAGAGTGGTACAGCTGCTGTGCAAAAACTGTCCTGGTGGTTTCTCAAAAACTTAAGAGTTACTAGTTGACTCAGCAATTCCACCCCTAGTTATAGACCCAAGAGAAATGAAAATGTATGTCCACACAAAAACTTATACATGAATGTTCATGGCAGCATTATTCATAATAGCCAGAAAGCGCAAACAACCCAAATGTCCATCAATTGATGAATAAATGAATAAAATGTGGTTTATCCATACAATGGAATATTATTCAGCCATAAAAGGGAACAGAGTACTGATATACATTACAACATGAATGAACCTTGAAAACATTAGGCTAAGTGAAAAAAAGTCAGACACAAAAGACCACATATTGTATGATTCCATTTATATGAAATGTCCAGAATAGGCAAGTCCATAGAGACAGAAATATTAGTGGTTTCCAAAGGCTGGTGGGAGGGAGAGTGGGAAGTGACTGCTTTATAGGTCCAGGGTTTCTATTTGGGGTGATGAAAATGTTCTGAAATTAGAGAGTAGTGATTGCACAACATTGTGAAGCCACTGAATTTGTAGTTTAAAATGGTTAAAAATTTGAATTTTATGTTATGTGAATTTTACATTAAAATTTTCTTTTTTAACTGTAATGTGTACACAAATCCCCTGGGGATCTCATTAAAATGTAGATTCTGATTCAGGAAGCCAAGGTGGGCCCCAAGTTCTGCATTTGTGACAAGCTCCCAGGTGATGCTGCTGCTCATCTAAGCTGGCCACGTTTTGAGTAGGAAGGCTACTCAAAGGGCCCTTCTGTTGTGTCACCTTACGATTATGCGCCTCCGGTGCCTCATCTCTGTGACCCAGCCCCTGCCCTCTCTGCTCCTGTAAATAAGGAGGGCAGAAGCACAGACCGACTCAGGGTCTGAGCCCGCAGGGGAATGTGGGCCTCAGGGCAGGGGAGTAGATGGAGAAGGGGCTGTGGCTATAGGGGTCACTGTCAGAGACAGAGGGGACCAAAGGCGTAGCTTTTACTGTGCACAAAGCTGAGGAAGGCAGGCCAGAATGCATGGCTCTGTTCTCAGAGGAAAGCTGAGAGGTACATCACTTCAGCTGCTGGGCTCCTCCGTCTCCCGGGCTCAGAAGGGATCTGAAAAAGAAAGGGCACAGCCTCGGAGTGGGCAAGCAGAGGGTGCTGAAGGCCTCCTTACCGCCCCTCCCGGTCCCCAGGGAACTCCTGTGCCAGGGAGCACAGGGCTCCAGGAGGGAGCAGGGTGGCAATCCCTCCACCGCCTGATCAGAGGGATGCCAGTCTTCCCTGAGAGGGTTTTGTGGTGGCACAGGAGTGGTTCCTTGGAAGGGAGATAAAAGGAGCCAAGGAGGTTTGGGGGCGTGAAAATGGCCAGTGAAGGAGGCAGCCGCTCTGTGTCAGGGTGATGGCGAGAGTGGCACTCAGGTGCAAGGGGCCAGCTCTTCCAGGATCCCCGACCTGATGCTGGGTTGCAGAAACCCCTGGGGTGGGGGTAGGGGCAGAGAACACTTAGGGGAGGTGAGGGGGATGCCTTCCCACTTCTGTCCCCAGGCGGAGCTGGAGCCCCTCCTGGCTTGTCCGGGCTACACCTGCAAGGTGGATCAGCCATCCCTATCCTGCTTGCCCAGCCCCAGAGGCTGTCGTCTCTGCTACCTGAGCCACTCACCGTCTCCGAGGAGGTCAGGGGTCGGGCTGAAGGGCCCCGGGGGCAGGTTCCAGGCCAGCTCCTCCAGCTGATCCAGCAGGCCTTTCAATTCTGCCTCCAGGTGCTCCACCGTCTTCTCCACCGTCTAGAGCAAGGAGAGATGGGAGCAGGGTGGGGAGAGGGAGGGGCAAGGTGAGTGCAGGACGAGAGAGGTGCCAAGTCTTGCTTAACCAGCCACATCCTAAGGAGCACCTGGAGGTCCAGTGGGGTGCAGTGGGGAGAGAACTGGGAGACAGGAGACCGGTCCTCCTCATTCAGGCTCCGCCCCTACCTGCCTTCCAGTTCCCCAGATGACAAAATCCTAGGGGCTCTCTCGCTAAGGTCAGTCCCGGCCCTGGCACTCAGCGGTTTTACTCAGTCACAGGTTTGGCATGGAGCGACTCTAGGATCCCCTTTTCCCTTTCAGGACTTGGCCACCTGGAGCTCACATTCCTTTTGTTGCCCCGCCCCCTGGTGGCAACTCTGCCAAATGACAGGTTTGGGATTTTGAAATTTTCTTTCTTCAGAGTTCTTAACTTTTTTCGTGAATGAGCCCTATTAGCAGTCTGGTGAAACCTACAGACCCCCTTCTCAGAAAATGCTTTAATTGAAAAAATAAAATATAGAATTTCCAAGAACACCAACTGTATTAAAATATTCAAATATTAAAAATTAAAGTTTTTAAAAGTTATTTTTATTGAGGTCACGTTGGCTTATAATTGTGTAACTTTCAGGTGTACATTATGATATTTTAGTTTCTGTATCGAGTCTATCGTGTTCACCACCAATAGCCTAGTTTTTATCTAATAGCCTAGTTTTTATCCAAAAATTAAATTTTTTTTTTTTTTTGTGAAGAGATCAGCCCTGAGCTAACATCTGCCAATCCTCCTTTTTTTTGCTGAGGAAGACTGGCCCTGGGCTAACATCCATGCCCATCTTCCTCCACTTTATATGGGACGCTGCCACAGCATGGCTTGCCAAGCAGTGCGTCGGTGCCCACCCGGGATCCGAACCAGCAAAACCCGGACCGCCGCAGCAGAGCGCGCGCACTTAACCACTTGCACCACCAGGTCGGCCCCCAAAAATTAAATTTTCGATGTAAAAAATTGAACTCACTAACTAACATGACCTAACACCAGATCTAACAGCTACTGTAATTTTGACATATGGATGAGAATAAATATGTTGAGATATGTGCAACATCTATAATTGGAAGAAATTATCTGTGATTACCATCAATGACAAGGTCATGGTACTGTTACTACTACTATGGTTTGTTGTTTGTATTTAGAATAAACGGGAATGCTAAATTTCAGTTAAAGCTTGTGAAAACAGAGAGTAATTTTTCCCCACGTAAGTCTGGGGACCCGGGGTCACAAACCATGGCTATATAACAAAACTCAGTGACTGAATTTCCACTTCTCCTCCAGTGATGATGTGGCGATCTCTGGCCGGGTGTAAGCAAGGCCCTAGAGGAGGCAGGTCTGTTGGGGGCTGGTCAGCCTAACAGCCCAGCTGGAGCAGGGAGATGGTTAACATGGTGGCCAGGGAGCAGGATTGCCTAGGTTTCCCCGATTTTCCAAAGCAAGGTCGGGCTGAGCCCTATAAAGCCTCCAGCCTGGCAGGTGGTCCCAAAGCTGCATGTCCTCCCCGGTCACCCTTATTACCTCCTCTATGACGTCTAAACGGCCGTGGACAGCCAAGTGTCTGTCACACCCTGGGCTCCGAGCTAGGTCTCCATGGGAGCGGATGAGGGGTTCCGCAGCTGTGGGAAAACAAGTCTTGTCACTGTGGGGCCCTCCATTTCCCTGTAACACTGGAGACTCCTGTAAGCACTGGGCTCAAGTGAGGTGGGTCCTGAAAACAGCCACGAGAGAAGCAGAGGAAGGCTCAGTGTGGGTCAGGGTGTGAGCGTGGGGCTGCCCCAATCACTTCCTTGTCTCTATGGCCATGTTACCTACAGACCCAGATGGGCTTCCTCAAGGAGGTGCTGCCTGAACTGGGTAAGGTGAGGAAGGGAGGAAAGGTCTCAGCCAGAGAGCATGGCACGTGCAAAGATAGGGAGGCACAAAATAGCACGGCTCAGTGTGCAAACCCTCAGGGAGTCTGGAGTGGTTGGAAAGTACAGGGTGGGTGGGAGATGCGACTGGAGAGGTAAGTCTTGGAAACGAAGCCAGAGGCCCTAATAAACCAATCACAATGCTTGTTTTGGGGTTTATTTTAAAAGAAGAGTCACATAGCCATACATGAACTTTTAAAATACAGGGAATGAATTGGAGAGACTTGTCTTTGAAGACAGGAAGTTACTGCAGTAATCAGAGTAAGAAGTGAAGAAAGGAAGCAGTAGCAGTAGGAATAGAGAGGAAGGAAATGAGTGGAGATATTCTAGCAGGAGCATTGCCATTGGTGACCAGGTAGTACTATCTGACATTTGATGAGTGCGTACTATGCACCACCTAGTGGGCTAAACAAATGTGTTCACTCAGTCAACCTCTACAACAACCTATTATTATCCCCAATTTACACGTAAGGAAATTGATGCACGGAGGGGTGAAATGATACGTCCCAAGTCACACAGTTGGTAAGCAGAGAATCTGAGGTTCCGCTTGTTTAACTCTTGATTCGTCATTTTTTCCCCAACATTGGTTCTTCCTGGCACCACCAACCCTCACACCAGAGGGCTTAGGGCCCTGGTTCCGAGCTCAGGTTTCAGAGCTGGTGGCTCTGAGATGCCGGCAGGGCATCAGAGTTGGCTGGAACCTTGCAGAACCTCCAAGAACCTTGGAAGGAGGATGCCGTCCCAGAAACAAAGAGAAACAAAGAGCTTTACAGAGGATGAAGCGGCCAACACGGCCTAAAGCAGCAAGGAGGTCTAGCAAGACAAGGACCGAAAAACAGAGCAACAGCAAAGCCACTGCTAAATTCTACCCCAGCACTTTTAGCAGAGTGGTGGAAGAAAGCAAAGTTTAGACAGCAGTGGGATGAGAAGGGAAGGAGAGGTCAGGAGGTGGAAACTTGGATCCTGGAAAATGTTTTCATGAAGCTTGGCTGTGAAGCAAGGGAGATCACATTACAAGGTCTAGACAAGTGTTTATTGTTGTCGTTTCTGTTTTTTTAAGCATTGAACAAACACAACCATGCTTATAGCCTGAGAAACGGGAAGAAGATCCGAGAACTGAAGGAATGAATGCTTTTCCTGAAGGGATGAGAGGCCAAGGAATCCAGAAATGGTGATAGTGGGTGTGGGAAACACATGGAAAGAAGAGAGAGGGAATGCAGGAAAAATGGGTAAAAAAGTTCTACTTAGAGAGCCAAAAAGTTGAATAACTTCCCACCTGATAGCCTCTATTCACTCTGTAAAGTCAGAGAGGAATCATCTGCTGAGAATTCATGTAGAGTTAGGAAAGAGGAGAGCTAGTTGTTAAATTTTCAGAAATTCTGTGAGTGGGTTGTTAAATACAAACACTAAAATGGGAGCCTTGGTGAGAGCAATTTATACTACAAAAAACTGGCAAATGCTTTTTTCTTTTTTTTTTTTTAAAGCCAGTTTATTAGCACACCACTGGGTTGGGGGCTTAAATAAAGAGAGGGCTCCAAGAGAGGATGAAGGGAATGGGAGGCAGTGTAGGAGGACGGTGCACGATGACCTGACATCAATGAGGAACTTTGGAAGCCCCAGTCCTCCCCCAGCAGCTTGGCAGGCTGGGTGTAGAGCAGCAAAGACAGATGGCTGGGTGGAGCCGAAACCTGAGAGTCTGCAGGATGAGTGTGGTGGGGGGCAAGAGAGCAAAGGAATTGGAGATCTGACCAGCAATGGTTAAGGGGATGAGCTCTGGAGCCTAGGTTGGATAAGGAAGGAAAGGAGGCCAATTGGAGGGCCAATAAATTGGGAGAAGTGATGCAATGATGGGGTTAACAGCAGGAACAGTGGTAATGGATACCCAAGGTCACACAATCGGCAAATGACTGGACCCCCATCGCCCTGGCCTTCTCCTCACCCCGCTTGAGCAAGCTGGCCTTCTGGAACTCTGCCGGAGGCCCCCTGCCCTGAGATTCTCTGGTTCTGACTCTGTCTGGATTCCAGCTCTTCTACTCAGGGGCAAGAACCAAGAGCAGGGACAAAAATTCCTTCCACTCTGAGCATCTTTTGTGGAGAACACTTTGTTTTTCTATGTTCTCCTTTTCGTTATTTCCCTCCACTGAACTTAGAAAAGCCTCTTCAAAAGACAATGGTCTTCTTGTTGACTTTGGGGAGGGAGGGGGACATGATAATGGCACTTTGGTCATTTTTTTAAAAGGGAGTCTTTTAGAGATCTATACTAAAATATTTACAGATGAAATGCTATGATGTCCTGGATTCACTTCAAAATAATCCAGGCCTGGGAGTGAGAGGAGGCATGGGTGGGTATATAGAGCAAAGAATATCAGCCAAGACTAGTAATTACTGAAATTGGATAATGGGGACATGGGGTTCATTCCATTATTCTCTCTCTCTTTGTATACATGGTTTGAAATCTCTATAATAAAAGCCAGTTGTCTGATGGGGTTGTTAGCAAAAAGCAGAAGCCATCGTGGGCTGCATGCATTGATATAAAATGTTCAGGACAAGGGAGGTGGGTGGTCTGAGAGACCGCACTTGGAGGGCTGTGCTCCATTCTGGGCCACACACTGTGAGAAGGCCTTCGACAGGCAGCAGCAGGTGTAGAGGTGCCATGGTGAAGGGACTCCAAATTTTGACTCATTTGTCTCAGCTGAAAGAACTGGAGTGCTCAGCCTGGAGAGGAAAGACTTTGAGAAGGCAGGAAAAGTCGTTCTCACCCACAGGGAGGGCTGTCCGAGAAGAGGGGGTCTGTCTGGATGTGGATCTGTGTTCACACATGCCCTGTGCAGGCTCCACCCAGGGACCTTTGGCCAAATTTTTCCCCTGAGCCTCACCTGCCCTCTCCCAGGCCCTAAGCTACTCTTTCCCCCTCAAAAACTCCCCCAGCTTGGGCCAACAGGAAACAATGTGACCTTGCCGGCCAAGTGGGGATCTGCCAGCTTTGTAAGTCACGAACAACATGAATCAGCTCCCCTCCATTGGCCCAAAACATCCTGTTCTTTACGTGTCTTCGATGAGGTCTAACTTGGCTCCAAAACCCCTCGAGGGAAAAGGCTGGGCTGAGGTTGCTCTCCACATCACACAGCACTAATCCCTCACATCTGGACAGAACTGTGCCCTGAGCTCCACCACACAACAGCTCATGAGCTCATCCAGTGCTCCGGACAAGCTCATTTGAGAGAAAGCTGGGGGCAGGGCCAGGACCTCACAACCATCCTGAGTGCTGCTCCCTCCCCCATGTGGATCCTCATTGCATTGACCTCAACGCATGATGGCAGAAAATACACTGGAGACCCTGTTCTTAGCCTGGCTCAGCCACTAATTGGTGTGGGCCTGTGGAAACTTCCTTCCCCTCCCTGAGCCTCTGCTGCCTCCTCTGTAACACGGGGTGGGGTAGGCTTGAGACACTGCCACCCAAATGTGGTTCACGATTCGGCTCTCTCTCAGAGCCTGCCGAGAGGCCTCAAAAATTAGCTACAAGGACAGAACGGGGATGAGTCAAGGACAAGTTGCTTCTTGCTTCTTAGACCAGAAGCTCCAGCAAGGCAAGACCTGGGTGTCTCTCTCTCTCACACACACACACACACACACACAGACACACACACACACAGACACACACACGCACAATAACGCCTGCTTTACGGGGCTTTTGGAAAGCTCACACAAGAGACGGAGTGGGGAAGGCTGAAGGATTACCATGACTGACGTTGAGCAGCCAAGGCTGTGGTTCCCGTGTTCCTTCCTTTGCTCTCGCCCTCCCTGCTCCGGCCAGTTGGGAAATGGACCTTCTTGGATGCCGAATTGTTTTCCTTGGCCTGGCTCCCATTCGGGGCCTCTGTGCACCCTGGACGGCGGCCATGGGTGGAACATCGTGCACTGGTGAGAGCAGGCTGCCCGAGGAGGCCAGAGGCCCAGGTGGAGGCGGTGGGCTAACTTCTCCAGTTAAAGAGACGTGGCCACTGGGTCCTGGTCCTCGGAGACGGGAAATACAGCCCCCTCCCACTTAAAGGCATAGGAGACCTTTTGTATCTGGGACTCAAACACTAAGAAAGCACCTACCACCCAAATGACTTCTGCCATGCTGGGTGATGACAAATGCTTTCTTGGTGGTGACCCTGAAAGGTGCTGCTGCGGCTCTGAATTATCAAAGACAAAATCTGTTTGACCAGCAACACTTGTCACTTGTGGGTTAATTATATTTGACCACATTCGATATAATAGAAGAATAAATTTTACCACATTTAATATTTGTATTAAAATTTGTGATTCATTCAAAACCATCAGTGATTTAACATTATTTTCAAACAACTATATGAAGACCTCCAATCTGTGGAACTGCTCCGGCAGAAACAGGAGAGGGACCCTCGAGCCCCCAAAGAGACAGCACAGATGCTGAGGAACATTTTTGTTTTGTTCTGTTAGAGACGTGTCCTATCTCCCTGGGTCTCCTGTCATTTTCCAGATGTAGATTTGAGCCTTGCCAATCACTCTGGGAGCTTGCCAATGTCCCTCCAATACATTCAGTATCTGGTTAAGTTACTATTTTGCTGCACAAAGAACTCCCCTCCATGACACACGTGTCTATTTCTTTCTCGTGTGTCGCTGCAGCGGTAGACTGACTGCCGGTCAGGGCTGGCAGGCAGCTCTGCTCCCCGAGGCTGTACAGGAACCCAGATTCCTTCTATCTTGGAAGACTGTGTTTTTTAATCCACTGGGTTAAAATGTGCTGGAACACTCCAAAGCTCCACAAGACTGAGAAGGTCTAAAAAGCCATCCAGGATAAACCTCTCTGCAGGTGCTGTGAAAAAAACACAAGGCTGGGAGTCGGAGAGGCAGTCCCACCTCCGCTGCTCCCTGACTGTGCTCTTTGCCTCTCACTCAGCTTCCTTGTCTGGGAGGTATCTGCCCTGCCCCGTCTACCTTAAGGGACTGCTGTGTTGATCAAAGGGGATCCTGCCCTTGAAGACGCCTTGGGACTGCCAAGTGATGTGCAAATGCCACAGAGGGCATTTACCAGGTGAGCTGAAGACGAGCAAGGCAGTGAAAGCGCCCAGGGCCCCGCCTCTCCACATGGAGCCAGAGCTCTTTGCTAGATCACTCTGACCAGACCTCCTCCAGACTGGGAGGCGTCTGCTCTAGGATTAATCCCATGCAGGGATCCAAGGATGCTTGGGAGGGGCTTCTCCACCAAGCGCAAAAAGGGCTCAGTGCTGACCGGCTTTCTGGGCTCTGTTACAAGCCAGTCCCACTTGCTGGATCCTTGGTTTCTTCCCCTTTAGAATAAGCATAACCATACTCTGTATTCAAAGCTCCTTTTGATTTGTGATCACCTGTTATGTGCCAGGCTTTTTGTCGCGTGCTTATATACATTATCTCATTTAACTCTATCTGTGAGCTCAGAACTCTTACATCCTTTTTCACAGATTAGAAAACCAAAGATCAAAGAGATTGGGTCACATGCCCAAGATTTCACAGTTAGTAGGTGGTGGGGACAACATTTGAATTTACCTGCCTAACCCTGTCTATACTGTGCCCTGGCAGTCATGTGACCCTGTATAAGTTAAGGGCTTCCCATCTTGGGGTCTCAGCTGCCTCCTCTGTAAGATGAGGGGCTGGATAGGTATGGGCACAGGGAACCTGTACACGTGACACCTTTGCAGCTGTCTTGAGGCCCCACAGGAGCCCAAATGTGTGCCTTGGATGAAACTGTCTTTGGGTAGGCCATTCCCCACAACATCCATTTTTGTAAATAGAAATGCTGTGATCCTCACCACAGCCCTTCTTTCACCCAAAGCACAAAGCAGAATCCCAACACCGGAAAGATGTCCAGCGGCAGACAGCCGGAACTTCCCTGATGGGCCCCGACGCATGGGTGGGAATGGTTACACTGGTTAAAAAGGGCTAGGCTCTAGGACTTCAGATCTCTCTGACAGCAAAATAGGATAGGAACTCAGCTGAAGCCGTAACTTAAAAAAAAAAGTCTGTATAAGTAATACAAAACAGTTTGCTTCACTCAATACATATAGAGCTTTTACAAATCAATATGAAAAATCCCAATACCACAATTAAAAAATCTAAGGCAATTCACACAAATTAGTAGAAATGACCAATAAGCATTTGAAGGAAAAGTTCAACTTCAGAAATAATCAGAGAAATGCAAATTAAAGCAATAAAGACCATTCTCAGGGAAAAAAAAATCTAACTGGAATTAGATCAAGCTGCTAGATCTACCCACCAGTTTATAGGCAATACAAGGTAGAGAGGAACATTTAAATGACACCTAGGGGATGCAATCAGCTAAAACCTAAATGTGGAAAACTTTACAGGACAAATGACCCAGTTTCTTCAACAAATAAATATTAAGAAAGAAAGGGGAAAAGAAAACTTACATATTAAAAGAAACTTTAACAGACATATCAAACAAAAGCAATGCATGCACCTTATTTGGATCAAACAAATCAAATGTAAAAACGTATGACACAATGGATACTTGAACACTGATTGGATAGTTGATGATACTAAGGAATTATTGTTCATTTTTAGGGTGTGATAACGGTATGACAGTTATGTTTATTAAAAGATTATCTTTTAGAGATACATAAGGAAATATTTATAGATGAAAATATAAATCTTTCATCTATATGCCTGTAATCTCCTTTAAAACAATCTGAGGGAGGGGCGAGAGGGTGGGGACTGTGGATGAATCGACCCTTGTTGAAACAGGGTGATAGGGACATGGGGCTTCATTATACTACTCCGCTTTCCACCCAAAAGATTTCATAATCAAAAGTTAACAAAAACAAGGGTATATTATCTGAAGTCTGAAAGGTTATACACAAAAATGTGTGAACTCAATGTGAAATTACATTAATACGTTTATACTTGCCTCTTTTCTTTCTTAATCTGTAGCAATGAGCATGCATAATCAGAAAGAAAATGTTTAAAAACAGTTTTAAATTAAAGCATATATACCAGCTGTGGCCAAGGGGCCACAAAAGGTCAGCCACTTGTGGGTGGCAGCCAGCTCCTCCCTCTGGGGGAGCACAGACGAGGCTTTGTCCCCTCAGCTCCTGGATGTGGGGACTCCAGGAGGAGGGTAAGGGGGAGGGAGAGAAAGGGAAGGACATGCCCTGTGGGCCGGGCTCTATGCTGGGCATCATCCCAGCTACTCCTCACAGCCTGTGAGGAAGGGGTTGTTGGTCCTCCCTAACAGGTGGAGAAACTGAGGCTCAGAGAGATCAGTGGAGCTGTCTGCGGGGACGAGAGAAGGAGCTTGTGTGTGTTGAAACGTGTTCCATGCTGGGCACTTTCCCTCTCATCCAATCCTCCCAGCAAGCTCTGCGGGGTGAGTATCATTCTCCCCAACTTACAGAGGACGAAACAGCCTCAGAGATGAGACGTGACATCCAAGGTCACTCAGCCAGGAGCTGCCTAGGACCAGCACTGGCCTCAATCCTTTCCCTGAGAGCTCACTCCCACAGTTCACTGTGCCCTGAAAGGGACTGGGCAGGGGTGAGGGGGGTTCCGTCTTAATATAGGGCACTTGGCCTGGGTGACTCCAGGTTGATGGGGGAGCAGCCTGGTTGGGGGCAAGGGCCTGAGGAGAGGGCAGGAGGCCTGGATGCTTGGTGAGAGCTCTGCCTTGGCACCACCAGGAGACCTGAGCCTTCCTCTCACCTGCACAACCAGGATGAGCGCCAGCTGCCTCTGGCTGAGGCCTGCGTGAGATGCTGGGTAAACGGGAACATGGCTTGTAAACTGTCAAGTGCTGTGCAGAGTCTTGGGGGTGCGCAATGAGCATCTGTGTGTAAGTAAGTACATTTGCTGCCACCCTATCTGTGCCTCACTTGTGAAGGGGCAGCACTAAGACTGCTGTCAGCGGAGGGGAGGGAGGGGAGTGCAAGGCAAGGACCCCAGCAAGGGGAGCACCCAGAGGACCTCTTCCTCCTGTACCCTTCTCCCACCTACCCACCCAAAGCAACCCAGGCCCTCAGGGAAGCTCTCTGGAAGCCTGGAGACTGGCCTCCTCACCCAGACAGCAGAACTCCCTCAGGCCACCTGGCAGGTGAAGTGATGGCTTTTCTTCTGGGGCCCGCCTGCCTGACCCCGACTGGCTGGCTGTGCTGGGCCAGGCCTGGGTCATCGGACTGTGGAAGCTTAGCTTCCTGGGCAACACCCAGTAAAACCAGGCCTGGGTGCCTCTGCAGGGCCTCTGGATGGAGCTGGCCTGGGGGGCTGCCCCACCCTGCAGACTTGACCTCCCACTCTGGGATCCTTGTCTCCTCCTCTCTCTCCTTGGGCATTGAGTTTCTCCACTCTCTCTTTCTTTTAGTCTCTCTCTTGTCTTTCTCTTTTCCTCAGTATCCTCTCTCTCTCTCTCTCCCCTCTCCCTTCTTTCTCTTGCCAGGTTAGCTCATCTATTTCATTCCGTTTGTACCTCTCAAACTCCTTTTTCTGTCTTTCCTCCTTCATAGTTCATAACCATCTGTTCAGCTCCAAGTCTCTTTCTCTCGGCCTCTACCCTTCTCTCTTTATTCGTCCCTCTCTCCTTTCTTTCTAATTCTCTCTGTCCCTCTGCCTTTATTTCTCTGCCTTTTTCTGTCTCTGTCTTTCTCTTTGTTTTCTCTCACCATCTTTCTTTCTCTCTTTCCCTCCCTCTCTGCACCTCTCTTTCTCCATCTCTCTCTCTCTCTCTCTCTGTCTCTCTTTCTCCATCTCTCTCTCTCTCCCCCCGCCCCCATCTAGCTCCGTTTCCATTTTTTTCCTTCTCCTCCTCCTTCCCTCCATCTCTCTTGCTCATCCTACCTCGCCCTGCGCGGCTCTCCCGCCCTCGCCCCGCGCCCGGGCCCCACTCACCGGCGAAGGCGCCCGCGGCGCGGAGCAGGGCGAGCCCGGCCAGCGCGCAGAGCAGGGACCGCATGGTGCCGGCCGGGCCGAGCGCAGCGCAGCGTCTGCCCGCAGCCGCCCTCCCCGGGATCGCGCCGGGCCCGCCCGGGAGGAAATGCTCTCAGTCCTAGCCAAAATTCCTGGGCGGCTCCCGGCGTTCTGGCTGCAGCGAACCCGCCCCCTCCAGAGGCCCCCTCCGCATCCCGCGGGCAGCGTGGAGCCCAGAGACCCCGCAGGCGGAGGGGCCAACGTGCCAGCCTGAAAGGGGCCGCCCTCTGAGTCCCCCGCGCCTCCCGGGGGCCGGGGCGCAGAAGGGGAGAGAGAAGGGTGGGGGAGTGGGTTCTACGCGACCGCCCCCGGGGCCCAGGTATTGGTTATGAGCCCATTTCACACGTCGGCGGACTGAAGCTTAGGGAGCATTGCCTCCTTCGGTGTCACCCACAACTACGGCACAGGATCTGAACCCTTGACTGCTCGCAGCGTGGAAGCTTTTCTCTGTCCACCTATGACAGCGTCTGGCCCTGAGAGGGAGACTCAGAAGTGGTGTCTGCCTTCTACAGAAACTTGCTATTCTGCTAAAGGAGTAATAGTAATGTTAAAAGATACTTTAAAAAAAAAAAAGGTAAAATCATGACTTTCATACATATATAAAATGAGCATGTGCTGAAGATTTTAACTCACAATTATTGAGGGAACCAGTGAGAGGTGACAGTCAGTCCAAAGAACAGACACAGATCTGGAATATTGACATTAATGTGCAAAAGGAGGTAAAACTGACTTCTTCCACACAGGGAGGGAGGAGAGTTAATTAAACCTATAACAGAAATAATTTGCATCTCTATAGACGAGAATTATGTTGCATTGCTATCTACAATTTACACACTTGTAAAATGCCTCAAAGGCAATGAAAGGCCCAGAGCCCTAATGGAATCGGGATCAGAATCAGTGTTCAGCAAATACTTAAGCTCTGTACTAGACAGTGTTAGGTAAACTCTGGAGGAGGGAGGAAAGAAAATAATTCTCCTATTCGCATGTATCTGCCCTCAAGGAGTTCACAGTCTATTAACCACCATAATATTAATAAATAGCAGCTAAGCTTTGATAGATTAACTTCTACACACACCACTTGTCTGATTTTCAGTGCAACTACATGAGGGGCACGTCATTACATCCATTGTGCAGATGAATTGAGGCTCAGAGATGTTAAGAACCTTGCCCACAGTCACACAGCTGGTATAATGTGGAGTCAGGATTTGAATCCAGTTTTGCTGCTTCTGTAGACTAGCCCTTAGATAATAATATATACTGAGTCCCTGAGAACCGGGTTGTATTTTCCATTCTAAGCAAGCTCACAATAAGAGCTGGGTGGGTTTTTCAGTGAACTTCAAATCATCCCCACCTCCTTCCAGTTTAGAACACAATAGTGGAATCCTCACCCACGGGACACCCCACCCAACAAGTGCAAAAATAGTTAAGTTTTAGTGAAAACAAAAAGCAAGAGCTGCAGAACCTGGTTGTTTCGCCTGGCTGTAAGCGGAGCGTCTTTACCACCAAGACCAGGAGAACGTCTCTATGCACCCAGGGTCCCCCTTAGGCTAACTGGAGCCCTTGCAGATCAAGGCTGCCTCTCTGCCTTCTCTGTTCCCGACTGTGCAATTGTCCAATACAGTTACCACACCAACCCGTAATCCTCGGTTCTCACTTCCTCCTCCAGATAACTGCCTCAGGCACGGAATTCTGGTTCTCAGTCAGCAGATCTTGGATAGAAACTTGCATCTAAATTTTTAACAAGTTCTCATGGGGATTAGGATGCCCAGATGAGCTAGCTCAGAAAAACAATTTATTTCAGGAATGCCAAGCATCCCTATGTTCATCACAGCATTATTCACAATAGCCAAGATGTGGAAGCAACCCAAGTGCCCATCAATGGATGAATGGATAAAGAAGATGTGGTACACACACACACACACACACACACACACACACAATGAAATAGTACTCAGCCATAAAAAAGACAATCATGCTATTTGCAACAACATGGGTGGACCTTGAGGGTATTATGCTAAGCAATATAAGTCAGACAGAGAAAGACAAATACTGTATGATTTCATTCGCATGTGGAAGATAAACAAATACATAGAGTATAAGAACAGATTTGTGGTTACCAGAGGGGAAGGAGGTGGGAGGGAGGGAGAAGGGGATAAGGGGGCATATGTATGGTGATGGATAAAAATGAGACTATTGGTGGTGAGCATGATGCAGTCTATACAGAAACTGAAATATAATAATGTACTCCTGAAATTTACACAATGTTATAAGCCAATATGACCTCTACAAAATAATAATAATAGGAAAAAAAAATTTCTCACACTTGGTAGTAGGACATTCCTTGGTAGTTTACTCAGGTGGGAAGTTGTCAAAGGATAGCCAAACCCATAGAGATTCTTGCAGCTCAGAATGAGTGGGCTACCTAATATTTTGAATTTGCAATAAAAACAACACATATACAATACTGTCTTGTTGTGGTAAAGTCATAAAATGATAAAGCATATAGTAAAACATGAAACTCCTCCCTATCACTAACTCCCCCTGCCCAGTGATTCTAGTCTAGTCCCCTCAGCTTGGTGGACTCTTCCAGCTCCTTGTCTATGCATGCCCTATCTATCTAATATGTATTCAGACACAAATGTATATACCTGGGATTGAATAATAGATATTTTGGGGATTTGTTTTCACATTAATGTTCATCTCAGTCATAACATCAAATCTTGAAGATCATTTTATGTTAGTAGACCTAAATCCACCTGGTTCCTTTTAACGGTTGCAAAATATCTCATGAATGGATGCACCATTATTTGTCCAGACAATCCCCTATTGATGGACATGTAGTTTGTTTCCCTTCTTGTCCAATATAAAGCATGCTTCAATGAACATGCTTTTGCAAATATGTTTATGTACATATTACATACTCATGTATTTCTGAAAGGCTGGATTCCTAGAAGAGGAATCATTGAGTCAGAGGGCATTTTACATTTTGCTGAGTGAGACAAAAACCCTCACTAAGCACCTAGCAGGGGCCTGGCCCTCAGCGCAATGTTCCAAGACACACCCATCACATTGTAGCCTATGCTGTCCCGCAGGGGGCGCTATTTACATAAAATGCTTCTGGAGCTGAGAGACCTGAAGTTGTAGATCTAGCAGCCATGTACATTCTCTGACACTGGATATTTATCTTTTAAAACTTTGACAATTTGATGAGGAAAAAATGTTACCTTGTTGTTTTTATTTACACGTTATTTATTATGAGTGAAGTTGAGCTTTATTTGGCTATTCAAATACTTTTTTCTATTTTTCCTCTTTTCTTTACATATTCTGATTATAAATCCAATGCCTGTCATATATGTTGGCAAGGTTTCCTTCCATTCTTCCATTGTCTTTAACTTTCTTTGTGGTGTCTTTCATCATACAGAAGTTTTAGATGTTTAGGTAGCCAAATCTCTCAATATTTTCTTTTATGGCTTCTAGATTTTATAACTTGCTTATGATTCCTCACATCAAGGCTATAAAAATATTTTCCAACATTTTCTTCAAATAGTTTTCAGTTTTTTTAAGGGTGTAATCTCTAATCCATCTAGATTTTTTGGGGGGGATGGAGAGGAAAAATTAAAAACAAAATTTTTTCCCCAGTGGACATCTAAATATCCAAATGCTCCCGATTGCATAGTCCATTCTTTATCCACTAATTTGAACATAAAATAAATTATTGGTTAGCTATTCATTCCCAAGTGGGGTTCCAGAAAACTCTCTAGCCGTCATTTCTGTTATAAGGTCAAAGAAACAAAAATAAAATAGCCTTATTTCAATAAATACTGAAACTATTATTTGATGAAATTAAGCAGCCATCACTGACTTAAAAACGACAAACTCCAAGAGGTAGAAGTAAAGGAAATAAAGGATATTGCCTTAACAATATCATCACTTTTATCTTCAATAGTTCACACGTACACAGGGGAGAAAAGAGAGAGGCATTCTTTATTAAGCCAGGAATGGGGTAAAGATGACACCATCACAACCGTTAATTATCCATGGTCTGATGGATGCAATAAAGCGCAAACGAGGAGAAGACGTATTGTGAAGGAGACAAAATATGGCTATTAGCAGAAGATTCAATTGCTTTCTTAGAAAATCCAGTAGAACTAGAAGAACTGCTTGAATTACTCCATACATTGGCTGGATTTAAGAGAAGTGTTTTGAAATCAATTTATTTCCTCACACTAACAGAAGCTGGCCCAAACAGGTAAAGGAAAACTGGGCCAGATGTTAATAAGGACCCGGTTAGCTAATGTCCTCCTTCCAACATTCTCTAGAAATGACCAATGAAATTAAAAATAGGAGAAACTGGCGTCAGTGCCAGGAACTAGGAAATATGCCAACCATATGCCGGGCCTCAAAGCAAGGCAAAGCCTTGACAGCCGGCTGGGTATGTATTATTACTGTTATTTGCTAAACTTCTTTGAAACTGGTATTGTGCTAAGGCTATATATGTGTTATTCATTTAACCCTTGTACCAACAAACCTATCTGGTATGTATCCTTATCTCATTTTTCAAATAAGATATATTTGATCAAGGTCAGAGGCTGGCAGATCTCAGGTTGGAAGCCAGACAGATCTGCTTCTGAAATCCATGCTCTTGTGTTATCAGACTTCTTGACTCTCTGGCCCCAGGTGTGTAACTAGATAGCAAGGGAATCTGGAGGGAGGTGAAGGTGAGAAGAGGGCAAATGGGGTATTTGGGGGCTCAGAGGGGCAAGTCCGTATGTGGTTAGGGGGAGAGAACCCATAATCACCTCACAAATGAAGTGCCGTAACGTGCAGAGCTTCTCTTTCGTCTAATACTCCCATTGCCCTGGCGGGTAACATCAAGATCCACAGTGAACACAATGTGAGGCTCGGAGAAGTTAGGAGGTGACTCAAGGTCACACAGATACCATGCAGAAATGTGGAGATTTGCCTCCTCCCCCCCCCAGTGCCCGTGCCTCCAGGCAATGCTTCAGGATGTGCACAGGCTTTCCACCCTGGCTGTGCTGAGGGGACAAATGGTGGGGAGTCTGGCAGGGGCTTGCTTTCCTAGCCCAAGCCCAAGGCAAGGGGCCAAGGGAAGCAGGAAATAAGGGCTGGCCCTCTGGGGGGGTGGAGGTGGGGGAAGAGAGACAGCCCA